TGTGTGTGTGTATATGTGTATATATATATATATATATATATATATAATACCTTGCTACGTGTACTGCGTTAGGCTAAGCGAGACTTGTCATTTGCACTTACATATTGCTGCTCTTTTGTTAGTTTTGATTGCTTTTATTGTCCTCATTTGTAAGTCGCTTTGGATAGAAGCGTCTGCTCAATGACTAAATGTAAATGTAAAAATGTAAATGATATTTAAAGAAAGTAAAAAATGTAAGCATTTTTACTAGCATGACAGCACAAAAACAGCACAGCACACTTGCCAGCGAACCAGTCTCAGTGTTCATGGTGTATGAAGAATTGTAGAACTTGCTGCTGGTTTTCGGGTCTTCTGGCAGCTCCTCGTTGTTTTTGAACCACTGATAGTGTGACTGTGGAAAGCCTTCGTTCTCAATACAGCGCAGTTCAGTGCTTGAACCCACTGTAACTGCCTCCGGCACACTACACCTGGGCATCACCGGCTTCACTGCAACACATCCACAACAAAACTAAAAATATATATAGCCCTATTAAATTGTTTCCATTGTAATATCTGTTGTACTGGCTTTAATTTAGTATGATTTTAATAACATTGTGTGCGGGCAGGATCATTTTTCATTACTGTACTACATTAATGAGAATATAATGAGTATCACTGTTGAAAATTAATATCAGATATGACCCAGTTCTGGACATGTTTTACATGAAATGCTCTCTACAGTGTAATTATACTAATTATCTTATTTCAAACATCCTTCTTTGATTATTTTCTTATGTTCTAATGTCAAAGACGAAAAAATCTTATGCATTTCAGTAATGGGTGACTCAGTTTCTCAGTTTTATCTTTTCGACTTTTTATAATGTTTATGGGAAGCATAATGGAAGAATAAACGTTGTAAGTATCTTGGGGAAACTGTAACCAGACCTGAACACATTTCTGTTGAAAATTCATGGACAGATTTAGAAGAGCTTGTGTGTTTTTTCAGTTTCGGTCTGTCCGCACCAACTCAAAAAGGCCAGACAGTGTGACATAATGAAAAGGCAAATATGAAACAAATTATTGGCAAAGCCTGACAGTCCCAATAGGCTTCGCTCATATGAGAAAATAATTTGGGGTTTAGGGCATTTGCTATTTCCAGATGCATTTTCCACTTTCACATAATCTCATGAAATCCACAGAGTGTATTTACAGTGATCCATATGTGACAATCTGTGGCTTTAGCATCAGATTAAAATCTTACCATATGGACTTCTGCAAAGCATGAGACAGACTTCAGTTATCATAAACCAAACATCTGTGGCGTTTTATCATCACCTAGACTGACAAGCTCGAGGAATAGCTACACATGGGACAGTTTTGTACTGATGAAGTGAATTCTGCTGCATTTAACCACTGTAGAGAGGCACATTATGGGAGACTAGAGCAGAGTCATATTGCCACAGCTGGAGAACGTCAAGGTTTCTGGTGACGGTTCTAAGGCTGACTTTCCCATCGCATGCATCATGGTCTATTTTTACATCTGCTGTTGACATTTCCCGATTAGACAAGCTACATTATCCACCACTGGGAAGCATGCGGTCACTGTATGGAAGCGACAATGTTAGAAAGGTCCCTGTTTACATCAAACAAAAGAATGCTGCATTAATATGAGATTCATTTTTCAGCAAACAACTTTTAAGATTAGGAAAAGCTCATGTTTTTTTTGTTTGTTTTTTACTTTAGTTGCATTATTTTTCTTCATATGTGTGTGTTTTTATAAATACATACATATATATATATATATATAGTTTTTTGTATAATTAGTCCAAGAATGTGTATGAATAATGTAGTGTGTGTGTGTGTGTGTGTGTGTGTTTATATATATATATATAGAGAGAGAGAGAGATGTTTGTTTTGTTATTGTAACAGTTTAAAAAACACAAATCCTAATAACACCTTTCTGCATTTCCACTCTAAACAACATAACAAAAGCCCCCTTTTTAATATGCGTGTTATTTTATGTTAATTGTGATTTCAGTTTACGGTTGTTTTGATGGCATACTTTGTGGATAATTACTGTACAAGACAATAGCTGATTGTTGTAGCATTTCACATGACATACTAACTAAAAGTGCTATTCCAGACTTTACAAAGAAGTGACCTAAAAAGTGACGGGAAAAAGAAAGAGTGGGAGAGAAGGGGGTGGTGGTGTGATCTTTGACTTGAGACATTCTTTATCGCATGATTGTTTACAAAAACTCTTCTCCACAGTTCTGACAGCACTTTCTAGTTTACAAAGACCCCGCCACTGGTCAAAGTGAAATTAGGCTGAAGTTGAGCCCATTTTAAAGTATTTTGGTATTCAGGACACATTGACCAACAGCAACGGCTTTGAGAATGAGTGAATGAAGCTACACCTCTTCACACATCACACAACTTGCACAGAGGCACACTGTGCTGAGAAGAAAATGAAAAGCTCTGGTCGAGTCCAATAACATGTGACCGGCAATACCTCAAAAACATGTCAGCTACAATGAAATAATTCAACAATAAACTTAAATAGTTGATTTTCTACCCTTGTGAAAAAGAAGTGGGCTTAAGTGCATTGAATGTGTTCTTACAGTGTACTTCAAATCTTAAAACCATATATTTTTAGAACACTATATTGATAATATAATATTACTGAAATAAAAAAAAGAGTACTTAAAAAGATTACACTTTCATGACAGTTTTTTTTAACACAATTAAACTTTTAAAAATGTCAAATTAAAAGTTTTACTTTAAACTACTTATTCTTTTAATATACATTTTTGTCATGATTTAAGTACTCTTATTTTAATGTGTTGACACTAAATACTAAAATACTAAAGCACATATAAAGTACTTGATTTTAATTTTAACTGTAGTGTGTTTTTCAATATTTAAAATGAACATATTTTAAATGTACTAAATTGCATCTTCATCATTACAAATGTGAAAATACAAATATATTTAATGACATACACATTTCAATAGAAATGACATTAGATTCTAGTTTACCATAAATGCTTGCCATTTCATTTGGCAGTACACTTTAACTAAAAGCAATAGAAATAATTATTAAATTACGCATGTCAAAAAACACTCTAGTTTAATTAGTTCAACTAATTATTACATTTAAACTACAATGCATTTTCATTTAATTGTAAATAACATGCAATTAATTATATTCAGTTCACTCATTTCAAATAAGTAATTTTTTGCTCTTTTTAAAAGTATGCTAAAGTGGACTTCTTTTTCAAAAGGGTATTAATCTGATTAAAACGACTCTAAATTAAGCTATTAACACACAGAAGCATACTGAGGAACACAAACAAGAGCTGTGTCTCAACTCCTAGTGAACTACCTACCTAAACAACATCTTCGAGTATATGATGTTCATATTAGAAACGTTCGAACGCGGTCAAAAATGCTGTCAAAGCAGGCAGTTCACTGGGTATTGAGACACGCTCGTTGTATTCCACTGTTGGGCGATATAAACCAATCACTCCAGCAGTGAGTAACATTCCCATCTTACTAGAAACCGCGAGCTGTGTTTACAAAAACTGAGCGTGGCGTTAAATGGCTAACGGTAGTAAAGCATTAGCAGCAGGGGTCAGCGCGAGAATGCCATCACACGGATCCACGACCGCCACAATTCAACAAGACCTACTCACTCATTTACAGCAGATGAAGAAATATTACTCACACAGCCATGAGAGGAGTACCAAGGAAAGCGTTTGACGGCCGATCGCCATTTTGAACCGATGTTTTACATACAAATTTAGCTTAGCTGTCCAGACGACGGGGTGAACAAACTGTAGGAGGATGCTGCCCGCTGATGAGTTTCCATAGCTACAAGGACATCTGAGCGGAAGAGAGAGGAGGGGCTGAGGCGGCGCTCGCGGACTTCCGGTTGATGATGAGCATTAACGTGAGGATTAAATTGGAGAATAATGTATTCAAATAGTATTTAGGCGTATTTGAGATCTAAATCGATAATTATGTCAATATGTGGTAATTAGCATTAGGAGTATTTCTCGGATAAGAGCGATACATGTCAGCTTGGGCGTATATATATTTTTCCAATAGTTTAAAATCGGATTTAAAAGACAGCGTGAACACAGAAATAATGTATCTTACATTAAAATGATCAGCTGAATTAATGCGTCTAGCATAATTTTCACATTTCAACACCAGATGGCAGTGTTAGAGAGGATAAAGATAATATCTGGGGTCTGTACACGTAAATATCATTACTTTATACATTAAACATTTAAAATATGTATACAATATTTTTTATGAACTTTTGTGGTACACAGTTTTAGTTTCGTGTTCATCTAAACTTGTCTTTTTTATTAGTGTAAGACACTTCGTCTCTTATTCAAGTGGCTAAATCAGTTTCTTTAAACAGACTCTTTCTAAAATGAATTACCACCAAAAGGTTCATATATTGTTGTGATGATTAGATGAGTGTATGAGAAGTGTGTGATATTTTTAACAGTTAAAAATAATTTTGCAGATAATTGTTTGAGTTGCCAAAAAAGGCAGTAAAAAGTAAAAACATAACAGTTTCTGTCTGCATCCCAGCTGAGCAAATTGACACCTCACACCTGGTTACACTTTTTTTTTTTTTGCCGTAAAAGCTAATGAAATATTAAAACACAACAGTTTTAGTTTCGTGTTCATCTAAACTTGTCTTTTTTATTAGTGTAAGACACTTCGTCTCTTATTCAAGTGGCTAAATCAGTTTCTTTAAACAGACTCTTTCTAAAATGAATTACCACCAAAAGGTTCATATATTGTTGTGATGATTAGATGAGTGTATGAGAAGTGTGTGATATTTTTAACAGTTAAAAATAATTTTGCAGATAATTGTTTGAGTTGCCAAAAAAGGCAGTAAAAAGTAAAAACATAACAGTTTCTGTCTGCATCCCAGCTGAGCAAATTGACACCTCACACCTGGTTACACTTTTTTTTTTTTTGCCGTAAATGCTAATGAAATATTAAATCACAAGGAAAGAATATGTTTATTTTTACTTCAAATAAAAAATATAACCTTTACCAATCATTTTTAGAGAGAAAAAAAGAAGAAACAGAATCTATACACTGCAGTAGAAGACAGAAGTAAATATTTATTAAATATTTGGTATATCACCACTTTCATCAGCCACTTTTAATTCACACACACACGCACACACACGTTTGGTTTCCATGTTTTATGGGGACATTCCATAGGCGTAATGGATACTGTACAAACTGTATTCTCTATCCCCTTACCCTAATCCTACCTCGAAAAAAGGACAAGGATTTTGGATATTGCCATCTTTGTAATGTAGGGTATACCTGAACCGCACACACACACAAACACACACACACACACACAAAAATTACATATAACATGGTGAGGACAGTCATATAGAATTATGGGTACAGTTATGGGTACAGGTCAAAGGTCACCCTGTCATGTTATAACTTGAATGCACTATTCACTTCTTGGGCTCGAACCACACCATGCTCAACAAGGGACTTAGCTTATTATGTTGTACAGTACTATTCACAGAAGCAAACTAAGAAAATCAATTATTAAATGGCATTTTAATTAGGACAATGAATCTTATTATTAGTCTCCCTTAGAAAACAACATAGGATGTTCATGCATTCATGCCAAAGTATTTTATACTTAAATTAACCTTTTTTACATTTAGCAACATTTTGTGCCACTGGTGCACAGCCGAAGAGACAGCCTGCATCACACCCCCTCTCGCCACTGTTACACTGTGTTTGCACACATTGCGACCAAACTGTCCAGCTCTATAGGCGCCTGCTGCGTCTGCTCAGAGTGTTTGAACGCTTTAGTCCTCTACAGAACAACGACACCTTCGGAGCTTCATTCATTCTTGGCCTGGCATATATTTATTTATATATGATGCATGATGTCTTGAATACACATTCACATGCTTGTTTGTGCGTGCAGTGAAATGCCTTCCTGGATGGAATCATCCAACGGTGCACATGAATCTGAAGATCATTTCAACAGCTACTTGATCTGCATCATCAGAACATATGTGACCACGAAACCATGGCAACCATCTCAGGTGCTCTGGCAAGCTGGAAACAAGGCCAAAGGAATGTGTTTCACAAGCCTGCATTAGTGTTAAATGGTGTTACACCTCGCATCAAAAGCAAACACTAGGAGAAAGATGCCAAGGTCATTTAAATATATAGTGTTGATAAGTGTTATTTGCTATATCATTCAGCAAGATGATTGTGTGTCAAATTTATTTGTAAAGTGCATTTCACAATACAAATCGTTTCAATGCAGCTTACAGAAAGTCATACTATGTCTATAATGCTTTTGATGATATATAACGCTGATGTGATCCTCCGATTTTATATCTAGCTATATTGTAGCGCATTTTTATAAATTTTTAATATTGGTCAGTAATGTTGTTTTGTTCTTTAGCGAGAATAATTGATTCTCAAAAAGTATTATGATCAATTGTTGCAGGAGAAATCCAATTATTCATTGTGTATCTTTATAATATACTGACAGCCACCAAAAAACAGAAAGTGATTAAAAAACACACATTATGAATCAAAGTTCATCACAAATAAATTTCTTACAAGCTGAGGTAATTCTAAAATATAAAAGCTGCACACAGTTTTATTCACACAAATACAAAACACCATCATGGTAACACAAGCAGTGGTGGAAATGGCCAAAATTCACCTGGGGACTGCATCTTGGAAAGGGGGAGGGGATTATAATGGTAATTTTAGATGACCTTTCGGATGTATGTAATTATAAAACCCTTTATAATCTATAATAACATTAAGCTTATTTCATATTTTCTCTAAACATTCTTGGATATTAAGACAGGCACCTGCAATTCTGGCCAAATTAAAGATACATTGTGTGTGAATTTGCACATGTTATGTAAACATCATTAATGACCCCTTGTGTTTAATTAAAAAAATTGATTAGTGAAATGAAAGAATGATTTAATAAAAAAATGGGAATGATTATTAATGGCCTCTAATTGGCCTGTTTAGCTAAGCCCTCAAAACACTTCTTATTTAGTGGTACAGTATTGCATGATTTGTAGATATTTAATTACACTTTGCATAAACGTTTGCAATAGTTTTTAAAAGGTAACTTTACATTCTTAAGGACTCTACGCTGCTTACATCTCTTTTCAGGAGCACTTGTGATCTGATCATTGACAGAAATTAACCTTTCCATTATAAGGCGATATTTGACTCCTTTTTTCTTTTTTTAAACCTTTGTAATTCCTCTAACTTTATTAAATATATGTAATCTTTTGTGCCAAAAAAAATTAATTTATAAACTTTTATCAAAATTTTAATTAAACAATAAATTCAATTAAAATAATAAAATACAATCAGGAAGAATAAGTTACTAGTCAAATGAAATCAGCATCAACATGCTGTGTTTGCTTGGAGATGCACAGCGGCTCAGCTTTGACTTTGGAAATATTTTCGTTGACAAAATAGAGCACAATCAGACAACAGTGTTCCTAAAATGTAAGTCACTTAATATTAACTTTTGTATAAAATCAAAAATGTATAAAACTGTCGTATAAATTCAATTTCACATTTGCAAACTCCCTTTAAAAGCTGTCACTCGTCTTAGTTCATCGTGATCTCACAAACTTCCATTTTATTTAATGAAGCTCTCTGCACTGCACACTGAAGCTATTATTTACATCGTCTCTACACTTTGTTTGTTATAATGAATGACTAAAACTGCAGTCTGCTTTCACGATCTGTGCTGCGAGGAGCAGCACGAGCACCGATAGAGAGGCATTTCCATTGGCTGCAGTCTGCAGGTATTATGGCCAATCACAAAAGACGGCATTGAGCAGCGAACCATAGATGTGCAGAACTGTGATCGCTGTCGTAGTCTTTTGAATAAATAAAATATAGAAATCTCTTTAATTTCCAAGTAAACTTAAGCAGTTGGAAATGAAACACCCCCCCCCGCCCCCCCCCCATTTCCAGCCCTGAACACAAGACAATAAAATAATGCTGTAGACATTAATTTAACAACATAAGAGGTAACATAAAACTCTAACGTACATAACTGATACAAAAAACAAACAAACAGTTATTTCAATGAAAAAACAAAATATGAGCTCACACAGGGAATTGTGCGAATGTCAGTTTATGTTTTTTGACTTGTTCAATTTAACTTCCAAAAACAGCAAAGTTAACAGAATTTTACTGTTAAATTACATTAAATGTCCCATAAAATTTTTACATTTCTTTCCCACTGTATATAGACAGTAAGGGAGCTTGTGGTTAACCAATTAACTGGTTTTACCATAGCATTTTTACAGTTAAAAGCAGGATCTTTTTTTTTTTTATTTAGCAATAAGCTCTTTCACGGAATTTTGTACCCATTCACCATATTTACCTACTCCTACAACAGACGTTTAGGGAGCATGGGAAAGAAACTGTGTACCATAAGAATGATTTGAAACTGATATTTCAAGGTAAAGACAGAGATACAGTTGCTTTAATGTGGTTAAAAATTGCTTATGTTGTGGTAAAGATTTTTGTTGAAAATTGCTTCAAAGCTTTTGGTTATATCGTCAAAACAGGGAGGGGCTAGAAAGTCAACACATAATAAAACTTGTATATGAAAAACAACAAACACCTCATTACTCTATAGCTCCAGCTTATATTTGGAGACTCACATGCCGGATGCTTTAGCCTGGACCTCCTGAGCATGTCTGGACAGTACCACTACTATAGCTGGCTTATTATGAGACACATCATTACAGGATAAAGTGGATTAGAGATTTAGTCATGGGTATTTGGGTTTTTTCTATCCCTATATGGGAGG